TGCCCCATGCCCCATGCACCATGCCCCATGCCCCATGCACCATGCCCCATGCCCCATGCACCATGCCCCATGCCCCATGCCCCATGCACCATGCCCCATGCCCCATGCACCATGCCCCATGCCCCATGCACCATGCCCCATGCCCCATGCCCCATGCCCCATGCCCCATGCCCCATGCCCCATGCCCCATGCCCCATGCACCATGCCCCATGCCCCATGCCCCATGCCCCATGCACCATGCACCATGCACCATGCACCATGCACCATGCACCATGCCCCATGCCCCATGCCCCATGCACCATGCCCCATGCACCATGCACCATGCCCCATGCACCATGCACCATGCCCCATGCACCATGCCCCATGCACCATGCACCATGCCCCATGCACCATGCCCCATGCCCCATGCCCCATGCCCCATGCCCCATGCCCCATGCCCCATGCCCCATGCCCCATGCCCCCATGCCCCATGCCCCATGCCCCATGCCCCATGCCCCATGCCCCATGCACCATGCACCATGCCCCATGCCCCATGCACCATGCACCATGCCCCATGCCCCATGCACCATGCACCATGCACCATGCACCATGCACCATGCACCATGCCCCATGCCCCATGCCCCATGCACCATGCCCCATGCCCCATGCCCCATGCACCATGCCCCATGCCCCATGCACCATGCCCCATGCCCCATGCCCCATGCACCATGCCCCATGCCCCATGCACCATGCCCCATGCCCCATGCCCCATGCACCATGCCCCATGCCCCATGCACCATGCCCCATGCCCCATGCCCCATGCACCATGCCCCATGCACCATGCCCCATGCCCCATGCACCATGCCCCATGCCCCATGCCCCATGCACCATGCCCCATGCCCCATGCCCCATGCACCATGCACCATGCCCCATGCACCATGCCCCATGCCCCATGCACCATGCCCCATGCCCCATGCCCCATGCCCCATGCCCCATGCCCCATGCCCCATGCCCCATGCCCCATGCCCCATGCCCCATGCCCCATGCCCCATGCACCATGCCCCATGCCCCATGCCCCATGCCCCATGCCCCATGCCCCATGCCCCATGCCCCATGCCCCATGCCCCATGCCCCATGCCCCATGCCCCATGCCCCATGCCCCATGCCCCATGCCCCATGCCCCATGCCCAATGCCCCATGCCCCATGCCCCATGCCCCATGCCCCATGCCCCATGCACCATGCACCATGCACCATGCACCATGCACCATGCACCATGCCCCATGCCCCATGCACCATGCACCATGCCCCATGCCCCATGCACCATGCACCATGCACCATGCACCATGCACCATGCACCATGCACCATGCCCCATGCCCCATGCCCCATGCACCATGCCCCATGCCCCATGCCCCATGCACCATGCCCCATGCCCCATGCACCATGCCCCATGCCCCATGCCCCATGCACCATGCCCCATGCCCCATGCACCATGCCCCATGCCCCATGCCCCATGCACCATGCCCCATGCCCCATGCACCATGCCCCATGCCCCATGCCCCATGCACCATGCCCCATGCCCCATGCCCCATGCCCCATGCCCCATGCCCCATGCCCCATGCACCATGCCCCATGCCCCATGCCCCATGCACCATGCCCCATGCCCCATGCACCATGCCCCATGCCCCATGCCCCATGCACCATGCCCCATGCACCATGCCCCATGCCCCATGCCCCATGCCCCATGCACCATGCACCATGCACCATGCACCATGCCCCATGCACCATGCACCATGCCCCATGCACCATGCACCATGCCCCATGCACCATGCACCATGCCCCATGCACCATGCCCCATGCCCCATGCCCCATGCCCCATGCCCCATGCACCATGCACCATGCCCATGCCCCATGCACCATGCACCATGCCCCATGCACCATGCACCATGCACCATGCACCATGCACCATGCACCATGCACCATGCACCATGCACCATGCACCATGCACCATGCACCATGCACCATGCACCATGCACCATGCACCATGCACCATGCCCCATGCCCATGCACCATGCACCATGCACCATGCACCATGCACCATGCACCATGCACCATGCACCATGCACCATGCACCATGCACCATGCACCATGCACCATGCACCATGCACCATGCCCCATGCCCCATGCCCCATGCACCATGCCCCATGCCCCATGCCCCATGCCCCATGCACCATGCACCATGCACCATGCACCATGCACCATGCACCATGCCCCATGCCCCATGCCCCATGCCCCATGCACCATGCCCCATGCCCCATGCCCCATGCACCATGCCCCATGCCCCATGCACCATGCACCATGCCCCATGCCCCATGCACCATGCCCCATGCCCCATGCACCATGCCCCATGCCCCATGCCCCATGCACCATGCCCCCATGCACCATGCACCATGCCCCATGCCCCATGCCCCATGCACCATGCCCCATGCCCCATGCCCCATGCACCATGCCCCATGCCCCATGCCCCATGCACCATGCCCCATGCCCCATGCCCATGCACCATGCCCCATGCCCCATGCACCATGCCCCATGCCCCATGCCCCATGCACCATGCCCCATGCCCCATGCCCCATGCCCCATGCCCCATGCCCCATGCACCATGCCCCATGCCCCATGCACCATGCCCCATGCCCCATGCCCCATGCACCATGCCCCATGCCCCATGCCCCATGCCCCATGCCCCATGCACCATGCCCCATGCCCCATGCACCATGCCCCATGCCCCATGCCCCATGCACCATGCCCCATGCCCCATGCCCCATGCCCCATGCCCCATGCCCCATGCACCATGCCCCATGCCCCATGCACCATGCCCCATGCCCCATGCCCCATGCACCATGCCCCATGCCCCATGCCCCATGCCCATGCCCCATGCCCCATGCACCATGCCCCATGCCCCATGCACCATGCCCCATGCCCCATGCCCCATGCCCATGCCCCATGCCCCATGCCACCATGCACCCATGCCCCATGCACCATGCCCCATGCCCCATGCACCATGCCCCATGCACCATGCCCCATGCACCATGCCCCATGCCCCATGCACCATGCCCCATTGCCCCATGCCCCATGCACCATGCCCCATGCCCCATGCACCATGCCCCCATGCCCCATGCCCCATGCACCATGCCCCATGCACCATGCCCCATGCCCCATGCACCATGCCCCATGCCCCATGCCCCATGCACCATGCCCCATGCCCCATGCCCCATGCACCATGCCCCATGCACCATGCACCATGCCCCATGCCCCATGCACCATGCACCATGCACCATGCCCCATGCACCATGCCCCATGCCCCATGCACCATGCCCCATGCCCCATGCCCATGCCCCATGCCCCATGCCCCATGCCCCATGCCCCATGCCCCATGCCCCATGCCCCATGCCCCATGCCCCATGCACCATGCCCCATGCCCCATGCCCCATGCCCCTGCCCATGCACCATGCCCCATGCCCCATGCACCATTCCCCATGCCCCATGCCCCATGCACCATGCCCCATGCCCCATGCCCCATGCCCCATGCCCCATGCCCCATGCCCCATGCACCATGCCCCATGCCCCATGCCCCATGCCCCATGCACCATGCCCCATGCCCCATGCCCCATGCCCCATGCCCCATGCCCCATGCCCCATGCCCCATGCCCCATGCCCCATGCCCCATGCCCCATGCACCATGCACCATGCCCCATGCCCCATGCACCATGCACCATGCCCCATGCCCCATGCACCATGCACCATGCACCATGCACCATGCACCATGCACCATGCACCATGCCCCATGCACCATGCCCCATGCACCATGCACCATGCCATGCCATGCCCATGCCCCATGCCCCATGCCCCATGCCCCATGCCCCATGCCCCATGCCCCATGCCCCATGCCCCATGCCCCATGCCCCATGCCCCATGCCCCATGCACCATGCCCCATGCCCCATGCCCCATGCCCCATGCCCCATGCCCCATGCCCCATGCACCATGCCCCATGCCCCATGCCCCATGCCCCATGCCCCATGCCCCATGCCCCATGCCCCATGCACCATGCCCCATGCCCCATGCCCCATGCACCATGCCCCATGCCCCATGCACCATGCCCCATGCCCCATGCCCCATGCACCATGCACCATGCCCCATGCACCATGCACCATGCCCCATGCCCCATGCCCCATGCCCCATGCCCCATGCCCCATGCCCCATGCCCCATGCACCATGCACCATGCCCCATGCACCATGCACCATGCACCATGCCCCATGCCCCATGCACCATGCCCCATGCCCCATGCCCCATGCCCCATGCCCCATGCCCCATGCCCCATGCACCATGCCCCATGCCCCATGCCCCATGCACCATGCCCCATGCCCCATGCACCATGCCCCATGCCCCATGCCCCATGCACCATGCACCATGCCCCATGCACCATGCACCATGCCCCATGCCCCATGCCCCATGCCCCATGCCCCATGCCCCATGCCCCATGCCCCATGCACCATGCACCATGCCCCATGCACCATGCACCATGCACCATGCCCCATGCCCCATGCCCCATGCCCCATGCCCCATGCCCCATGCCCCATGCCCCATGCACCATGCACCATGCCCCATGCACCATGCACCATGCACCATGCCCCATGCCCCATGCCCCATGCCCCATGCCCCATGCCCCATGCCCCATGCCCCATGCCCCATGCCCCATGCCCCATGCCCCATGCCCCATGCCCCATGCCCCATGCCCCATGCCCCATGCCCCATGCCCCATGCCCCATGCCCCATGCCCCATGCCCCATGCCCCATGCCCCATGCCCCATGCCCCATGCCCCATGCCCCATGCCCCATGCCCCATGCCCCATGCCCCATGCCCCATGCCCCATGCCCCATGCCCCATGCCCCATGCCCCATGCCCCATGCCCATGCCCCATGCCCCATGCCCCATGCCCCACCACACGAGCCATGGAACCAGTTCATGCCTTTACACTGTTCTGGCTCGGTCAATCCACTCCCACCTTTTTCCGCGCATGCTCTTCAACCCCTTTGCTCTCCACTTCCCTTCCCGCCAGTTCCCTCCCCCCTTCCTTTCCCCACCACCCCACCTTCCTCAGGTCTGGGCAACAATTTGATGCCGCTCCGTCGTGCCATCATCCTCTCCCCAAACCCTCCCCTACCTGGGCTCCTCTTCTCCTTTTCCCGCTCCCTCCACCCTCCCATCCCCGTTTTCCTCCCCCTTTCCCCTCCTTCCCCGTGCAGGTCTGGGCAACAATCTGATGTCACTGATATCGGCCATGACGTACAGTCTGCTCACCAACCGTGCCATCATCCTTGCACCGGGCACCGACGTGGCGTCGTTCCTCTGCAACCCCTTTGACGACTCCAACTGGGCCATCCCCGCGCGCCACTACAAGTCAGTCACCCTTCTGCCCCGCCCGCCCATGCTTGCTGTGGAGGCAGCGGGGGATGGGCGGGTGGGAAAATGGGGGCCGGGAAGAAAAGGGTGCAGGCAGGGTGGGAGGAGTGGGGCTAGGAACATGGGGGGAAGGGGAGAAACGAATGAAGGCTATTCTGTGATCAATCTGTGTGAAAGTGTGTCCCGTGTGAGCCGCGTGTGTACAGCGCACTGTTCTGCACATCCGCCTGCCAACTGGATGTGCACAGGAACAACTGTTTCACAGCCCGGTTTGGTCCGCCCGTGCCAAACCAGTTGGATCATCACAGGTCGAAGCGAGCTTTTCTCCTGTCTTGCTCCAACCATGTCCATCCAGCCTGGCTTGGCTTCAGCACGGGCGAACCTGGCCGGCCTCTCGTGGCCTGATGGGGACCTGTGCGCCCCTAGCTGTGCTCGTTTTGATGTGTCATGCGCTGTGGTTGGAGTTCATTCAGATGTCCCACTTGTTCCTTGAGTCTCAAGGAACATCACAGCAAACCGACAAACATATATAGTCAGGCCGCTTTGGGTTCCACGACCGTAGTGCTTCATGTCATAGCTAGTTGGGTGAGAATGCCCGTCACCCGTTGTTTGACCCTTACGCGTGCGTGTGGTTGTGTGTGTGTGTGTGTGCGCACCCCTCCCACCCCTCCCCCGCTCCCTCCCCCCGCCCCTTCCTCTTCCTGGCAGGCACGTGTACCTGATGTTCCAGAAGCAGCCACGGGTGATGGAGTTTGCTCGCATGGCTGCCAACGGCACTCAGTGGAGCAAGAAGGCCGCCTTCGCTGACCTCCGCTTCTCGTACGTGCGCCATGTGCACATGCACTCATGCACACATGCAGACGTGCACACATGCATACGTACACACATGCATACGTGCACACATGCATACGTGCACACATGCATACATGCACACATGCATACGTGCACACATGCATACGTGCACACATGCATACGTGCACACATGCATACGTGCACACATGCATACGTGCACACATGCAGACGTGCACACATGCATACGTGCACACATGCAGACGTGCACACATGCAGACGTGCACACATGCAGACGTGCACACATGCACACATGCACACATGCACACATGCAGACGTGCACACATGCACACGTGCAGATGTGCACACATGCACACATGAACACATGCACACATGCACACATGCAGACATGCACACATGCAGACGTGCACACAGGCAGACATGCACACATGCACACATGCACACATGCTCACATGCACACATGCACACATGCACACATGCACACATGCACACATGCACACATGCACACATGCACACATGCACACATGCACACATGGTAAGGTAAGCTTTCTAGCATGCGTGCCTAAAAATATGCTTTCACACATTTCTGTCTGCCAATAAATGAAGAAATTTGTGAGAAGGGTTCTACTTGGGCAGGCAGGGCGAAACAAGTTTGCATGGCAAGGTGGTGCAAGACATGAGAGGGTAGATGAGCAGAGACAAGGTCAGTTGCATCGATATTGTCATGCTCTCAACGCATCTCCCCGCACTGCCTCCCTCCTCCCTCACCCATGTGCCTGTGCTGCCCCAGCAGCAAATCGCACCTGGTGGATGTGACGCAGATGGCCCCTCTCGCCACTCTTGCACCACCCTTGATGCCATGCGCCACTCTTACTCCACTCATCCTCGCCACTCTCGCCACTCTCGCCTCTCCTATCCCACCCCCCCAGGTACGGCGAGGAGGACTGGAAGTTCTTCTGTCCGGGAGTGCAGGCGGCGATAGAGGAGGCGCGGTTTGTGGCGTTCTACACGGACGAGTACACCGTGCCCGGCTTCTACCTGCTGCCCTCCCTGCAGGTCACACTCCCCCCCTCCCTCCTTCACGCGCACACACATGCGCTCACACGCTGCCATGCCATGCCGTGCCGTGCCATGCTGTGCCGTGCCATGCTGTGCCGTGCCATGCTGTGCCGTGCCATGCTGTGCTGTGCTATGCCATGGCATGTGCTCCTCTTGTGACATGAGTGCAGGAAGTGCCCCTAAAGGCAACGAACTTCCTTTTGCCCCACCACTACGTCTGCCTTGCGCCTTCCACCTGTGTGGCAGCGCTGACCACCATTCGTGGGCGGCGCCCATGGGGTCCCTCTTCGCTCTCCTGCACCCATCTCGTTGTGCTCATTGCCATGCCTTTTCTCTCATTGCCTCACTCTTGCCTCACTCTTTGCCTCTCGCTTCTACCCTCTCACTTCACCAACCCTCCTTTCTCTCCTCACCCTCCCCTCCCCCCCCATACTCTCCTCCACTCACCCCCCTGTGGCTCCCCTGCATCCCTCTGGTGCCCGCGCACGCCCCTCGCCATCCGTTTCCTCCTCGCACCGTTGCAGGCGCGGCTGCACAAGTGGTTTCCGGACGGGAGGGTGTTTCTGCACATGGCGCGAGCCACACTGCAGCCGGCCAACTACCTGTGGCAGCGCATCACACGTGTCTTCCACGCGCACCTCAAGCACCACAACCGTCGCGTCGGCATCCAGGTGTGCCGTTGCGCGCGCGCGCGCACACACACACCCGTGCTGTGCTGTGCTGCGCTCTGCGGTGCTATCCACTGATCCTGCTGTTCATTCTTGTCATCACTGCATCTACTTCTTTGACCTCCAACCCCTTCCCCGCTGCCCCGCTGCCCCTCCCTCACAACCCCCTCCTCCTCGCCCCCACCGCCTCCCCTCCCCACACTGTCCCGTGCATGCCCCACGGCCATGGCACAGGTGCGCACGTTCTACCGGAGGGACACGGACACGAATCCGCGCATCCTGGAGTGCGCTGTGAACGTGTCGGGGTACCTGCCGCGCCTCTTCTCCTCCGACCAGTGGGACGCCCTCACTGCCAACGTGAGTAGCGCCGCCCATGTGGGCAGGCAACCAGGGCTTGTGTGACTGCTTGCACTGTGCAGCCAGTGTGAGAGAGAGCAGCTGATGAAGAATGTTGGAGGCATACCAACCAACCTTTTGGGTTCTGATTCTGTTGCCCAACCCGTGTCCCTCTCGTCCCACATCCCTGGGTCTTAGTCTGTGAGATCGGATTTCAAGTTTGAATATGGCTACTTCGTTTCCAAATGCTTCCCAAGTTGTGTGTACCACCTTATTGAGTAATTCTATTTGCATTCATATATTCGGTCGATCACCGACTACCATGTGTGAGCTATGCCTTGTGTGTCTACAAGGCGCTACATCTATGTGAGCTATGCACGACTGCTCCTGCCCCACAAGACGCATCCGCACCATCTCCTGCCTCCTTGTCTCCCGTCCTCTTCCTTCTCTTTCCCCTCTCATGCTCTCTCCACTCCCGTCCTCCCCTTCCCTACCCTCCCACCCCCCCACACCCCCTCCCCTCCTCGCCCCCAGCCGGACAGTCGCATGCAGGCGATACTACGTAACCCGTACCCGCGGTCAGTGGGCGTGCTGCTGACGTCCCTGTCACAGCACCACATGGACTACCTGCACGAGGCCTTCTCCACCCATGAGACCGTTGATGGCACCGTTGTTGCGCTGCACAGGTGCCACCACACGCACATGCACATGCATCATGCATACACACGAACATGCACATGCACATGCACATGGGTGATGCTGGGCAGATGAGAGGGGGAGTGCGGTGGGGGGAGGGGGAAGTGCTGGTAGTACACGGGCTTGCAGTGAAGGGCAGAGACATCGTTTGAGGGCTTGAAGGGCGGAGAAAGTGCATGGCAGTGTGGGAATGGGAGGTGTGAGGAGGGGCACTTTTTAGTGCGCTTGAGGCGCCTCACACGGTGTGATGAGGGGCATTTATTAGCACGCTTCTGCATGGCATCACCACCGTCCCACTCCACTGGTTCCAGCTCACACTGTGCACAGGCGGGACACACACCGTGCAGTGCAGCATTCACACCTCGTAAAGTGCACTTGTCCTCACAGAATCAGTATTTACTCCTTGCCCTTGTATCTTGCTCTCGTCCCTGCCCCGTTTTTGTCTCTCCTCACTCGTGCACACTGGATCCCACCTGCACCCCTCGCATGCCCTGCTGCGCGCCTGCTGCTGCTGCTCGTGTGTCCGCTGCAGTGAAGGGCACGAGGGGTTGGAGAGAGCGAAGCTGAGGCAGCATGAGAAGGCCTTCCTTGAAATGTGGCTGCTCAGCTTCAGGTATGCGCGCACTCAGCTTCAGGTATGCGCACTCAGCTTCAGGTATGCGCGCACTCAGCTTCAGGTATGCGCACTCAGCTTCAGGTATGCGCGCACTCAGCTTCAGGTATGCGCACTCAGCTTCAGGTATGCGCCCTCAGCTTCAGGTATGCGCGCACTCAGCTTCAGGTATGCGCACTCAGCTTCAGGTATGCGCACTCAGCTTCAGGTATGCGCACTCAGCTTCAGGTATGCGCACTCAGCTTCAGGTATGCGCACTCAGCTTCAGGTATGCGCACTCAGCTTCAGGTATGCGCACTCAGCTTCAGGTATGCGCACTCAGCTTCAGGTATGCGCACTCAGCTTCAGGTATGCGCACTCAGCTTCGTCATTAGCTCGATCATCCTTCTCCGCATGCCATCTCTGCCTCGCTCGCTCTCCTCATCCTGCCACCTGCTGCCACGTGCTGCCACCTGCTGTCAAGCGCACCATCATGCTGCACGTCTGCCTCACGTCCACCTTTCCCCTTCAACTGCCCCCGTTTCCCTTTTCCTGCCCCATCTCTCTCTTCTTCACTCCTCCCATCCCCCCTCCTCTCCCCAATCCCCCCCCCTCCCTCCCCACTCCTTGTGCCCACCAGTGACCAGCTGCTGGTGTCGGGCGTGTCATCATTCCTGCCCAACTCTCCCATTCTTCCTCCGTACCAACCCCCCCCCCCCAACCCCCCCCCCCCCCAACCCCCACCCCCACCCCTCCCTTCCCACTGCGACCACCAGCGACCAGCTACTAGTGTCAGACATGTCATCGTTCGGGTACATAGCATCGGGGCTGTCAGGGCTGAACCCGTACTCGCTCAACATCGGCTTCCGCACGGCGGAGAACCTCAACTGGTACATCAACCGCCGCCCCGTGTGCGCGCGCTCCTCCTCCGAGCCCTGCTTCCTCACCCCGCCCGAGTTCCTCAAGGTCAGTGCACACGCCGCACCACACACGAGCGCTGGTGAGGGGGGCATATGGGGGCGTTGGGAGCTGTGTTGGGCTGGGCCTGCCATGTGGGCCTGGCTGCTGAACAGCGTTGCTGGAGCTGCTGCTGTGCTGCTGCCATGCCTACTATACCTTGCACGCCATGCCTATACCTTGCACGCCATGCCTATACCTTGCACGCCATGCCTATGCCTTGCACGCCATGCCTATGCCTTGCACGCCATGCCTATGCCTTGCACGCCATGCCTATACCTTGCACGCCATGCCTATACCTTGCACGCCATGCCTATGCCTTGCACTGCATGCCTATGCCTTGCACTGCATGCCTATGCCTTGCACTGCATGCCTATGCCTTGCACTGCATGCCTATGCCTTGCACTGCTCGTATATTTTTACGCTCATTCATCTCCTCTGCTGCCCTTGCTCCCCATGTCCTTGTTTTCAGTGTGATGGTTCTGACGTGAAAAAGGAGCCTTTGGAGCTAAGTACAAGGATTAGAAAATGCTTGAACATTAATAGAGGAATTGAAGTGGACATTCCACTGTTTTAGACGTGAAATTTTCCTTCCTAAGGATTAGAAATAAAGGTTATTAGGATGCAGCTAATTGCAGTGCGCATCACCCATTCCCAACAGTATTTACAACAACCGTACATGAATGTGTGACAACTACCTGGTTTGAAAAGGCAAGGTATCAAACATGAACCTTATTATTACTCCAGCCCAGAACGGTATCACAGCGGGTGCAAAATGAAATTGTTGGCAGACAGAATTACTCGCAGAATTGGCTCTCCCCTTGGCGTGGTGAGTGCAGTGCAGCATGCTTCACGGCACGAGTGTGCGGTGCATGTCCACGTGCTCAATGCCCGCATCCAGAAACACCTCCCCCGATGTGACTGTGTACCCCAGGCGCTCGTAGAAGGGCACTGCCTCCACCTGCGCTCCCAGTGTGCTCCTCACACACCCCTGCTTCGCTGCATGCTCCTGCGCGTGGGTTGCGGGTGCATTGGTGTGGGTGGAACATGTGAACCGAGTGGGTGCACGGGAGAGGTGGTGGGACGGAGATGTCCCACAGGCAGTATGTGGCAGTTTTGGCACAAGGCTCGTCCCAACAGTATAGAAGTGACACAAAGGCAGTGTGATCCGCAGCACATGGTTATGTCCCCACCGCATGGCGAGATAAGGGAGACAAACCCGAATTACTGCACATTATTGCAAAAGAACAACGGAATGTGCGTTGTTCTCGTAGGTTGGAGAAATGAGATGAGATGGAGAAGGCTGTGTTCCATGCAACTTGCTCACCGCGCTATCTGGAAGTGGCATGCCATGCATGCACCCAGCAAGCATACAGCATGCGTTCCCAACAGCCACACATGCACCCCACGCCGCACCCAAGGCGGGCAGCAGCACGCACGTGAATGCAGTGCATGATGGCGCGCCCCACTCCCTGGCGGCGGAACTGAGGCAGCGTGGCGATGCGCCCCACCTTGGCCGTGCCATCAGCCTTCACCACACAGCGACCTGCCACCGCATGGTGTTGGGTGATGGCATGCCATAGGGTGCAGTGCTGCATGGCATCACAGTGTGGGGTCATGGCATGGCACGCTGTGCGACACTGAGCAGCAGGAAGGGGGAGGGAGTGCACATGAGGGGCGCAGCGTGCCATCCAGTTACCCAAAACCAACCTCATGCTACCTATGCCTGCACTGCTGCACTCCTCACCGTTCAACCACCACACATCTTTCCCACACCCCTCTCCCCCTTCCTCTCCCTCTCCCTATCCCTCTGCCCTTCCCCCACCCCCTCCCCCTCCCACACCCACTCCACCTCCCCTCCCCCTCCCCCTCCCCCTCCCCCTCCCCCTCCCCCTCCCCCTCCCCCTCCCCCTCCCCCTCCCCCCACCGACCTGCGCCAGCGGGGAGCCCCTGCACGGTGGCGAGGAAGTGCAGCGCGGAGGGCGGCACGGCGTGCAGCGCGCCGAGCCCGTCGTGCGCGTCCACCTCCTCGTGCGGCGGCACGCGCTGCTCCTCCACGAACACCGCCACGCGCACCTGCATGTGCTGCTGCCACTGCGCGCGCAGCAGCGCCGCGCAGCGGGATGCGGGACACGCGGCGAGATTGCAACGTGGGTACGCGGCAAGACCATCGATGCGCGCAACAAACCACAGGCCATTGGTTCGAGCGGAAAGGTCGGAGCAACTGAGAGTATAGATGGCAACAAGGGGGTACGGAGTCCGATGAAGGGTGCGACTTGTTCCGCATGTGCGACTTGTTCCGCATGTGCGACTTGTTCCGCATGTGCGACGTACTCCAAAGGACTCACCGCAGTGGGCGTTGTGACTCGCTCCACGGCCACCGACTGGCACGCGTCGCCAGCCATGGCTGCTGTGGATGCGGCGCTGGACGCTCTGGTTGCTACCACATGGGTCTGCGCCCTCTATGAACGCTCCTCGATACACATGTCATTCATTGATGTGCTTCGATTTTCAAACTTGTACACAATATGTATCTGGTGGAGGCCTTTTCTCATAATTTACAAAATACGGTAGACAATAGAAACTTATGGCCACACAGGTACTCACTTCTAGATTTTCTGATTTGATTTTTTCTGGTCAATTTGATTCCCACACATGATTGCACAGCTAAACCATGATTAGGTAGGATGGATCTAAAGAAGAAGGTAAGGCAACTCCGGCAGAACGTCATTTGTCCTGCAGGGCTGTCAAATGTTGAACATTGATATGATAGGCTATAGTGAGTTGCACTCTAGGGGGTACAGCTTCTAGGGTTGCTCATTTGTACCCCATTCGTTTCTATTCCAATCATTCCGTTGTTCGCTAACTTTGAGATGGTATCATGAGTAGGTGTCGATCCTCTCGCCTAGCCTAGCCTAGCTCGCGCCCTAGCGCCCTCCGCGCCCTTGCGCCCTAGCACACTCCGCGCCCTCCGCGCCCTGCGCGCCCTTGCGCCCTAGCACCCTCCGCGCCCTCCGCGCCCTCCGCGCCCTCCGCGCCCTCCGCGCCCTCCGCGCCCTCCGCGCCTTAGCCACCGCGCCCTCCGCGCCATCTCCGCGCCTTAGCGCCCTCCTCCTCCGCGCGTTAGCGCCCTCCGCGCCCCTAGCCTGCGCCCCTAGCCCGTCGCCCAGGCCCACGCCCTAGCCCGTCGCCCAGGCGCCCGCCCTAGCCCGTCGCCCAGGCGCCCGCCCTAGCCCGTCGCCCAGGCGCCCGCCCTAGCCCGTCGCCCAGGCGCCCGCCCTAGCCCGTCGCCCAGGCGCCCGCCCTAGCCCGTCGCCCAGGCGCCCGCCCTAGCCCGTCGCCCAGGCGCCCGCCCTAGCCCGTCGCCCAGGCGCCCGCCCCAGCCCGTTGCCCAGGCGCCCGCCCCAGCCCGTCGCCCAGGCGCCTGCCCTAGCCCGTCGCCCAGGCGCCCGCCCTAGCCCGTCGCCCAGGCGCCCGCCCTAGCCCGTCGCCCAGGCGCCCGCCCTAGCCCGTCGCCCAGGCGCCCGCCCCAACCCGTTGCCCAGGCGCCCGCCCCAGCCCGTCGCCCAGGCGCCCGCCCTAGCCCGTCGCCCAGGCGCCCGCCCTAGCCCGTCGCCCAGGCGCCCGCCCTAGCCCGTCGCCCAGGCGCCCACCCCAGCCCGTCGCCCAGGCGCCCGCCCCAGCCCGTCGCCCAGGCGCCCGCCCTAGCCCGTCGCCCAGGCGCCCGCCCTAGCCCGTCGCCCAGGCGCCCGCCCTAGCCCGTCGCCCAGGCACCCGTCCTAGCCCGTCGCCCAGGCCTGCGCCCTAGCCCGTCGCCCAGGCGCCCGTCCTAGCCCGTCGCCCAGGCGCCCGTCCTAGCCCGTCGCCCAGGCGCCCTCCCTGGCTCGTCACCCCAGCCCCGCAGGCAGCGCGCCACGCGGGTAGCGCGCCCCGCAGGAGGCGCGCCCCGCGGGTAGCGCGCCCCGCAGGCAGCACACCCTGCAGGCAGCGCGCCCCGGGGTGCTTTAGTGCCAGAAAATAAATAAATAAATTAAACCCTAAAAAAAAAAAAAAAAAAAAAAAGGGGTTCACAGTGGGGGCCTGCGACTGTCGCCCGCGTTCCTGCTTGCCGGACGACCTGCACAGTTGCCTATATCCCGCAGCCGTCAGTACTGCAGCCCCTACTGTCGCACGTACTTTCCACTGCCAGTGGCTCTACTAGCGGCAGCCGACAGCCGCACTTACGGTCTCTAGCCCCGGCCGTTCCTACCTCCAGCCAGCCCTAGCTCGCCGCTTCTAGCTCCAGCCGTTCTCGCTCCAGCCGTTCTCGCTCCTCGCTCGTAGCTCAGTTTGCTCCGTGCTCCGGCCGTTCCTCGCCTAGTTTCACCTGGCGCTTCTAGCTCAGTTTGCTCCGTGCTCCAGCCGTTCCTCGCCTAGTTTCACCTGGCGCTCCTAGCTTAGTTCGCTCCGTGCTCCAGCAGTTACTCGCCTGGTTTCACCTGGCGCTCCTAGCTTAGTTCGCTCCGTGCTCCAGCAGTTACTCGCCTGGTTTCACCTTGCGCTCCTAGTTGTTCTCGTTTTTCACAGCAGCATGTCGCTCCTGTCGCTCCTAGCCTGCCGCTCCTGCACCCCGCTAGCTTTTATCATGGAGTCCGCTAGGGTTCTCCAGCAGCAGGGACAGCAGCAGCGGCCTTTTCAGCAGTGGCTTCCGCAGCGGCAGGGGCGCCCTCAGCAGCTGTGGCGCCCTCAGCAGCCATGGGGGCCTGGTGGTTCAGGTCGCGTTGGCTGCAGCAGCGGCCCAGCCAGCTGGGGGGCTCGTCGCGGTGGCCGCGACGTCGGCCCCTGCCAGTACCGGATCCTGACCGGCCCTGGTGCTGGCACTACCTGCTGGCGTCCTGACCACTCTGCACAGCGCTGCTACAGCCGCCTCGACGACCTTTACCGTGAGCGTTTTGGGCCTGAGTCGGCTCCCCCGATCTGGCCCGGTCTGTTTCGTAGTGGTTTCCCTGTGTTTGATATGTCTATGGATGCTGTTTATTCTGTCACGTACGGATCTCTTGGCTTACGTGTACCTAGCTTAGGACATTTGCCTGTTGCTGGTGTCGGTACTTGTGCTTTTAGTGTAGGTGCTTGTGTAGTCACTAGCCCAGCCATGACGACTGCTGTTGCGTCGCTCTCCTTCACGCTGGACTCCGGCGCGTCTCAGTGTTTCTTCCGCGACCACACCACTGTCACACCTCTTTCGGCTCCAGTCCCAGTTGCCCTGGCTGATCCTACTTCAGGACCAGCAGTTCCTCGTAGCTCGACCACCCTCCCGTGCCCGGCTGTCCCCTCTGGTTTCCTCACTGGTCTCTACATCCCCTCGTTCTCTCGGAACTTGGTGGGTGTTGGATACCTTCAGGACCGGGGGATCACAGTCACTTTTCCTGCGCACGGGAGGACCGCGATCTGTACGGACTCTTCCACCGGGGCAGTTCTTGCCACGTTCACCAGAGAGCCCCACTCAGGTCTCTTCGTCCTGCACACTCCGCCCCCGCAGGTAGCTGCGTCTGGTCAGGTTGCTTCGTCCCCCCCGGTAGCAGAGTCCGGTCAGGTGGCTGTGTCCAGTCCGGTCGCTGTGTCCAGTCCAGTCGATGCGTCTTGCTCCTGTCGCTCTCTCGCCCACCGCACCGTCCTGTGGCACCACCGTCTTGGCCACCCGTCGATCCCTCGCCTTCGTGGCATGCTCAGTCAGGGACTAGTCACAGGTCTCCCACGCACCTTCCCGTCGCTCCCTCCCTCGCTTGCCCCTCCTTGCTCTCCGTGCGTCGCCGGTCGCTTACGTGCCACTCCCCACTCCTCCTCCCTTCGTCCGGCCACCGCTCCCTTCGAGACTCTCCACTTGGACGTCTGGGGCCCTGCCCCGACGCAGGGGTCTGGGAGGGAGCGCTACTTTCTGGTGGTCGTCGACGACTTCTCCAGGTACACCACAGTGTTTCCTCTTGCGAAGAAGTCCGAGGTGACTGCTACGCTGATCAGGTGGCTTCTAGCCACTGAGGGCACTCGTGGTCGTCGAGTCAGTTGTCTTCACTCCGACCGTGGGGGCGAGTTTCGCTCCGGCATTCTCGGCGGATTCTGCGGCGAACAGGGCATCACCCAGTCCTGGACGCTGCCAGAGTCCCCACAGCAGAATGGGGTTGCTGAGCGCCGCATAGGCTTGGTCATGGACATCGCCCGCACGTCCATGATTCATGCCCGTGCGCCCCATTTTCTGTGGCCTCACGCGGTTCGCTACGCCGCACACCAGCTGAACCTCCAGCCGCGTGTCTCGCGGCCCGAGGCTTCACCGACCAGTCTCTGGACTGGATCCCCTGGTGTTGGGTCGGCCTTTCGAGTCTGGGGCTGCCTTGCACTTGTTCGCGACACCTCCGCGGACAAGCTCTCGGCACGCGCCGTCCCCTGTGTCTTCCTTGGTTTCCCAGTGGACTCTGCTGACTGGTCCTTTTACCACCCTCCCCTCCACCAGTTCCTAGATTCCCGTGACGTCCGGTTTGACGAGTCCGTGTCCTACTACAACCCGGTACCCCTGTCGAGGTCTCCCGGTACCCCCTCCCCCTCTCTTCCTCGCACCCTCTCCTCCTCCTGCTCCCGCTCCTCCGGTACCCCCGCCCCCCCCTGGTCCTGCCCCGTCTGGTGTGTCCCACGCTACCCCTCTCCCCTCGGTCGCGCGTCAGGTAGCGTCTCCCTCCCCGCAGTCCTCCTCACAGTCCCCTCAGCAGCCTTCGGCACTTCCGCGACAGGTTACTGTGGACTCGGTTGGTGTTGGAGCTGGAGGTGCAGCCGCTGGCGGTGCTCGGTCTGGGGGTGCTCGGTCGCGGGGTACTGGAGCTGGAGGTGCTGGCGCAGGTGACGCTAGCTCTGGGGGTGCTGGAGCTGGAGGTGCTGGCGCAGGTGGCGCTAGCTCTGGGGGTGCTGGAGCTGGAGGTGCCGGCACTGGAGGTGCTGGTTCTGGGGGTGCTGGAGTTGGGGGTGCTGGCACTAGCGGTGCTAGTTCTGGGGGTGCTGGAGTTGGAGGTCCTAGCACTGGCGGTACTGGTTCTGGGGGTGCTGAGTCTGAGGAGACTGACGCTGGAGACCCTGGTTCTGCGGAGTCCACCCCGCCCCCCCACCGCCACGACACGCATCTCCAGGCTGCCCGTCGGCGTGAGCGTGAGGAGCAGGAGCGGTTGGAGAGGGAGCGGCAGGAGCTGCGGGTGCTGGACCTTCTAGAGCAGCAGCGGCAGCAGCAGCAGCAGCAGCAGCAGCAGCAGCAGCAGCAGCAGCAGCAGCAGCAGCAGCAGCAGCAGCAGCAGCAGCAGCAGCAGTAGCAGCCGCAGCCGCAGCCGCAGCCACAGCCGCAGCAGCAGCAGCAGCCGCAGCCGCAGCCGCAGCGGCCGCAGCCGCCACCGCAGCTTCCTCTAGAGCGGCGGTTGTTCCCACCTGTGAGTGGCTTGCGGGCCCTTGGCCTTTCCTCCTCTCCTCCTGTCCGCTCCCAGTCTCCTCCTGTGTTTGTTCCTCCGTTGCCTCCTCCTGACGACCGTCCGGCGGTCTGGTCTTCTCCTCCTCCTCAGTCTCCTCCTCCCTCTGTCCGTCGCGACTTGATCACTCGTTGTCCTCCGCGTGCTCGTCACTCGTCCCCTGTTACTGACCTCCACACTGCCCTCCTTTGTTCGTCTCGTCGTCGTTCTCCTTCTCCTGTGTCCGTTCTCCCGTCTCCTCCTCCGTCCTCTCTACCTGCCCTCCCCACTCCTATCTCTGACTACTACCGCGCTGTTCGTCCTGTTGCCGCACGTGTCCTCACCACTCTTGTCACCGACCCTCGTTTCCCTCCGTCGTCTGTCTCGGCTCTCACTGCCGCTGTCGCTGAGTTTGCTACCGCCAGCCGCCTTGACTACGCCACCCGTGTGGTGCCAGCTCCTCCCTACCATCCTCTGTCCGTCGGGGGTGGGTTTGCCCTTGGCTGTGACGTCCTAGAGGACAGAGAGTCTGAGCTGGAGTACTGGGCAGCCGCTTCTCCCTCTGTGTGTGCCATGCTGCTCTCCCCTGAGGGAGACCCCGACGCCCTTGACATACCGACTCCTCGCACTTACCGCGAGGCAGTGTCAGGGGCGTGGGCCTCTCAGTGGAAAGCGGCTATGGACTCAGGGTTGGCGTCTTGGAGATCCACAGGCACCTACGTCGACGCAGTTCCCCCTCCCAGGGCGAACGTAGTCGATGGCATGTGGCTCTTCAAGGTGAAGCGGCCGCCTGGAGCACCGCCGGTGTTCAAGGCGCGCTACGTGGCTAGGGGTTTCAGTCAGCGTGAGGGAGTTGACTTCTTCCAGACCTTCGCCCCGACCCCGAAGATGACTACTCTTCGGGTGTTACTCCACATAGCAGCGCAGCGAGACTACGAGCTGCACTCCCTCGACTTCTCCACTGCGTTCCTCCAGGGCCGACTGCACGAGGAGATCTGGCTGCGCCGTCCTCCTGGCTTCACTGACACCTTCCCACCTGGGACCCAGTGGAGCCTGAGGCGACCAGTCTACGGTCTCCGCCAGTCGCCCCGTGAGTGGCACGACACTCTTCGCTCCACGCTTTGTGACCTTGGGTTCAGCCCGTCCTCCGCCGACCCGTCGCTGTTTGTTCGAGCGGGTTCTACGCCTTTCTTTATCCTTGTCTACGTCGACGACTTGGTGTTTGCTACAGCAGACAGGGCAGCCCTGGCTCAGGTGAAGTCCGAACTGCAGAAGAGACACAAGTGCACTGACCTGGGTGAGCTGCAGCGCTACCTTGGCCTGCAGATCACCCGGGACAGAGCCGCTCGCACCATCACACTGACGCAGTCACACATGGTGCAGCAGGTCCTTCGGCGGTTCCACTTCCAGTTCTCCACCACACAGCCCACTCCTCTTGCTGTTGACCACAGACTCACGGGCCCCTTTCCTGACGAGCCCTTTGAGTCCAGTGGACCCTACGCAGAGCTGGTGGGCTGCCTCATGTACCTGATGACTTGTACTCGACCGGACCTCGCCTTTCCACTCAGCATCCTTTCTCGCTTTGTTGCGACTGGGAGACACCGCCCTGTCCACTGGACAGCTGCTGTGAGGGTGGCGAAGTACCTGGCGACTACATCAGGCTTGGGGCTTGTGCTTGGAGGGACTCAGCCAGTGGCGTTGACTGGTCACTGCGACTCTTCCTACGCTGACGACGTGGAGACTCAGCGTTCGACTCAGGGTTACTGCTTCAGTCTGGGAGCTGGTGCTGTGTCGTGGAGGTCTACACGGTCGTCGTCTGTGGCTACTTCCAGTGCAGAGGCAGAGATCTACGCTGGTGCCATGGCGGCACAGGAGCTTCGCTGGTTGACCTTCTTGCTCACTGACCTTGGTGAGCGGCCTCGCTCTGCACCGACCTTGTACGCTGACAACAAGGCCATGATCCTCCTGTGTCGAGAGCCTCGACTGGAGAGCAGAGTGAAGCATATTGACGTGAGGTACTTCCTCCTGCGAGAGCTGCAGCGACGCGGTCAGGCACGCCTGGACTTTGTGGCCTCAGAGGCCAACACTGCAGACGTCTTCACCAAGGCCTTGGCGCTTGGTGACCACCACAGGTTCTGTGTGCAGTTGGGGCTTGTTGAGGTAGGCCCTCGGTTGGTGTAGTCCTGTTGCTTGCTCTGCTTGTTGTGCTTTGTATTTATATCCTAGTGAACTCTTGAACTGGCCTTGTGGCCGCTTGCTTGCGCTCGGAATTTGTGTGGTGTCCTTGAGATCCACCCTGAGCTTGCCTTGGTTCTTGGTTTGACTGGTCTTGTGACCGTTTGTTCACCTTGCTTGCTTTGATGCCCCTCACTTAGCCTATGGGGGTGTGTCAAATGTTGAACATTGATATGATAGGCTATAGTGAGTTGCACTCTAGGGGGTACAGCTTCTAGGGTTGCTCATTTGTACCCCATTCGTTTCTATTCCAATCATTCCGTTGTTCGCTAACTTTGAGAAGGGCGCCCTTTCCCTCATTGACTCGTCGGTCAGCCAATGTACGCACCATGCAATGGCACAGCAGGAATCTCCGTTCAAAGCCCCCTCCTGTGCCTCCTGTGCCTCGAATTGCTCTCGGTAACAAATGTGCTGCCATGGGAACAGGGTGGCGATTAGGGCGGGCTGGATGGCACGTGGTCAGGAGGCGGAGAGGAAGGGCGGCAGCACATGAACGCCCTGGGCGAGAGGCAGCTTCACTGCCTGCACCACGGCTGACAGAGGCATGCCCCTGCTCCCCGCCCCCTCACCCGCACCCTCGCCCGCACTCTCGCCCGCTGCTTCACTGCCCCCACTGGCAGAGGCGTTGGTAGGAGGCGCAGGGCTGTAGAAGTGGGGGAAGTGACCCAGGTCCGGCACAGGCTCGTACACCAGACCTGATCCGAGCTGCAACGCACGGAGGAGCGGACAGGGGATTCGGGCAAGGCAAGGAAGCAGCGTGAAGCAAGCGACTGAAGAGGGTGGTACATGAGAAGCGGGCGGGGCGTTGACATGGAGAGAGCTCAGCATGCCCACCTATCTCGGCCTCTCTCCCGCACTGCCGTATCCTTCCCTTCCCATGTCTGCCTCATCCCGCCACCCTCTCGCTCACACCTGGCCCATAATGGCTCCCCGCTTCACTGCCCTTCACACCTCCAATGCATTCTCTTCCCTCTCACTGCCACGCGCACTCCCTTATCTCCCCACTGCCCCACCCTTCTGTTCCCCCCTTCCTTCCCGGGCCCTACTGTCTCCCCCGCGCGTGCGCTCACCGCATGTGCGCGGATCTGCAGCAGCATGAGATCGTCCCTCCCCGGGAAGAACATCAGCAGCGTGCCGCCCACCTGCCACGCAAGCAAAAACCACGGGCAGCAGTAGCAGCAGCATCAGCAGCAGCGGCGAGGATTACTGTCTCTGAAAGTGGATGTGCGAATGGGAGCATTATGGCGGGGCGTCACCGTGGATGGACCTGGTCGGCCGTGCTCAGGTGGATGAACCCGCTCTGCTTGTCGAAATCGCTACCCACGAAGCATCCAGCTGCTTGCGCCTCGCGCCATTCTGCTTCCGGGCTAATCCGGTACACAAACTCGTGCTGAGGTGCTACTGCCTGCTCCGCCATGCCGTACGCGATATGCCTGTGCGATATGCCTTATGTAGACGCACGGAGAGGGATTTAGATCACCCTACACAGTCTCGATGCTTGTTGTTATGATTTCGCGGGTGTCACAAACGAGCTGTGAAAGTCCTAAAGACGTAAAACGGGAAAAAACCATGGCAGAATTGAGCTAGGCAACCGAACCAGACTAACGCAGCGCATCGGAGGATCTCCGATAAAGTACGGTTACAGCTAGGAATTATAATTCCTTACACTTGTTTTGGGCGTGCAACCATTCTGATTTTCCATTTGCAGTGCAGATGATGGGCGCGATACCTTTCAGGTTTACCGCTGTTGCCAACATTGCATGAGTTTTGGGAAAAGAAGAAAAAAAACTACTAACGCTATTCCATCATTTTTAAGCACGGTTGTTGTTCGGGCCACCACGAGGAACTACTATGGTATCTCAATTCAGCTCCTACATTCTCTGGAAACTTCATTGCTACTGTGAGCCAAGAAGACCAAGAACACCTTGATAGCAGCCTAAGAGCATACTGTACAGTCCCCCCAAGTATAAGCATGCAGACTGTTGACCGGCCAAGTCGTGAAGATAAGCTAAGTTACTCGACAGCAACGTCCGTCCTCAAGTCATACATTTGCTGAAAGCCACATTCCTGCTCCTCACCCACACTGCCAATCGCAACCTCACTCCCTTTCACCCCCAAGAACCGCAGCAGTTTGAGATCAGTCAAACCCTCTGGCAGCACCTGCAACTGCTCGCACTTTCCCAAGTAGAGCCACCTCAGCCTGGTCAGCTGGGCAACGCTTGGAAGGGTGCGGATGCATGTGCCCTCAGCGTTCAGCTGGTGAAGGCACGTGAGGCGCGTGAGGGAGGTGGGGAGGTTCTGCAGTGCTGAGCAGTGGGACAGGCACAGCCTTCTCAGCCTGGATAAGGCACCGATTCCATCTGGGAGGGAGGCGAGCTGGGAGGTGTATCCTACGTCCAGCGATGTGAGGTGCTGCAGCCGCGTGATGCTGTGTGGCAGCTCTGTCACTCCCTCACTGCTGCGCAACTGCAGCTTCCGCAACTGCGGCAGATCGCACCCGAGGTGGAGTGGAAGCTTCTGAATCCGGTTTCCAAAGGAGATCTTCAAGACGCGAAGCTGGGGGAAAGGAAACCGAGAAAAGGGGAACTCCTTAACGGCCTGTCCAATGGTTAGATCCAAATACTCCACATGCTCCAGGTTTTTCAAATCAGGCGAGCTGCTGCTGCTGCTGCGACTGCTGCTACTGCTGCTGCAATTGCTGCTGCAGATTCCGGCTGCTCCTTGTCCTGCGCCCTCCAGATTCAGAGTTAATCTCCTTAGATTCGTCAGCATGGAGAGATCTGGTAAGGAGGGGACTCGGTGGGGGAGCTCTAAGCTGAGAACCTCAAGAGAGCGAGGCAGCAAGTGAGGAGGTTCAGTGCGCACGTGACAACCTGCCAGGTCCACCTGCTTGAGCCTCGTCAGGTTGTGCAGGCTCCCTGCTGCTATCGAAGCGAGGGGACTGCAATGCTCAATGGTGAGGATCTGGAGGCCCGTGAGAGCAGTGAAGGACGCTGGCAGCCTCTTCACAGGACAGGAACTGATGTGCAGCTGCTGCAGGTTACTGAGCTTGCCTAGATCCCCAGGAAGGTCTCCCTCCATCAGGCACCTGTCCAGTTCCAACCGAGTCAAGCTAGTCAACTGGGGGAGTGAGGGCAGGAGCTGCTGTACGGAAACACTCCTCAAATAAAGTGTATGGAGTCGAGGGAACCCTGCAATGCTGTCCGGAATCGGGTACTCGTACTCTTCCGTGTGCATGATGCAGAGGGTCTGGAGCGATGTGAGGTTGCAAAAATCGTCAGGCAATTGGTCCATCTCACCACATTCGGTCAGGATGAAAGTTTCCAGGGATGTGAGTTGGCAGAAGGAGTCTGGAAGCTCGCGGAAATACAGAGCGTCCAGCACCAATGTTTTTAAAACAGGCAGCTGCCCGAAATTCTCCGGCAGGCTGTAAAAGTATTCGCAGGAGGAGATGATCAAAGTCTCCAAATTGCTGAGGGAAGTGAAGCTCTCGGGCAGCTCGGAAAACATCTCGCACTCGAGAATGGAGAGCTCCCGAAGGCGCGGCAGCAGCTGTGCAATGTCGTCACGAAGGCCCATCCGCCGTTCATAGTGGGAGATGAGCAGCCGCTCCACGCTGCTGCTCGCCGCTCCCGACGGGAACAACTCGGGACAGCATCCTCGGAATTCCAGCGACTTTAACTTGGGAAGCTGTGCGATGGGGAGAGCAGCCGGGTGATCAACTTGCGTTGCTTGCGAGATGGAGATGCTGGTGAGGCTGCGCAGGCGAACGAGGTTGGAGAGCTGCTGACGCGTGAGTTTCAAGGATGCAATAAGGAGGGTGGTGAGGGAACTGAGATTCGCCAGATCAGGAGCTTCTAACGCGGATGCGTCCGTCAGTACCAGCGTGTGCAGATCCGTGAGCTGGAAGAAGGAAGCCGGTAGCTTAGCGTTTGGATGGAGGCAGTAAAGGGAGAGCTGCTGCAGCTGAGAGCAACGCTGGAAGAAACAATCTAAGCCGGATTCCGATACGGGGTGAAGATCAATTCTGGAATCGCAGTAAGGATCATCACTGCCCAGCGTATGCGTGATTCCACGTCCTACGTGGAGGGCTGTCAGCTTGGGCCCGCATGACGTGGCGAGGTGGGTGAAAAACGCGTCGTCTAGGGTTTCCACGCTGCCGTCGCTCAGATGGAGATGGGAGAGATTCGCGAAGCAGGCGACCGCGTTCGAAAGGTCCTGGAGAGAAACGACGATGTTCTTCCTGACGAAAAGCGTGGTGATGTAACTCCGAGTAATCCTTCGCCAGCGGCGGCAGACGGACGCAATGAGGAGATTTCGCGCGGCGTCTGCGAGTATAGGAGTGGGTAACGACTGTAACGGAATCTTGTCGTCCGCACGGTAATCGTGGTCGAATGCGGGATGGATGGGGGGATCTACGGAAGGGTCCGCATAGATGAACCTGGGCTCCGGATGCAACACGGCCCATAACGCGTCGCTCGCAGATTTGCATGTGGACGTCGACGGCTGCTGATTGGAGGAGGAGTGCCAGAAGATCCTGACGAGGATCTCGTCGGGAAGACTATGGATAGGGCAGCGGTGCTCCATTTCCTAACGTGGAAAAGGCCGATGGTGCGAGCCGACGCGACGAGGGCGCGCCGACGCAAATGCGCGACGAGAGAGCGGGGTTTGGTAGGACTGGAACACCAGCAGCGGCTAAGATAACGAAACTAACTGGAGAAACTGCCTGCTGGAGCCTCCATGCGAGCTTGTAGAAGCATTCTCTTGTTATGTTTCTGTTCTCCGCCAATCCAGCCTGGGCAATATACCTTGGCGGAGGACGAAGTCATGCGGTGCGTTTTGCCAGGCATTCGTTTTCCTAACTGTGCGAAAACCGCAGTAGGGTGCGGAGGCTGGTACACCTGATGCTCGTTTGAGCTCCCCAATGTCGTCTTGTGAAGAGGGCGCTTAAGTTATACTTGCGTTTCGCATAGGTTTCGTCAAATCGCAGCTTGCAAAAAAAGGGCTTATAGAAACATTGTAACTTATTCGTTGACACTTTGACTTCGGTCTCTTCAGTTTGACTTCGGTCTCTTCGTTACCATTGGTTCATGATCACTGCACCTTGCTCGGGGGGATTGTAAGGTGGGTGCAACTTGCCGGTACAAAAAACACGGGTGCAGACTTTCCATCCGGTCCAGGAAAAATTCGCGCGCAGGGGTTGAGCATCGTGTGTAGTGCACAACGCGCAAGGGAACCCTTCACAGCGAAGCCCATCCAGGAATGACGTTTGCCTGGCAATTCAGAAGTTGACCTTCTATCCACTCTCACCAATGAGTTCCATTTCTATGAATGCAACACTTACAGAATGATTGTCACTAGTATCATCTTCTCCCTTTGCCATCCATGAAAAGCTTGGATGCTGCCATGGATGCTGCCTAAAAAAAAAGGTTATATTTTTGTGCGGCATGCCCAGACGTGATCGCTTAGTCATTTTTGGTAGAAAGCCCGCATGGGCTTGCTTACGGGGGGTTATGATAATTTTCTTCTATTAATTTGGTTTTCATACATTCTTTCTAGTACCGTACTTCATCATTACAACATAAACAAATGCCTCTCAAATCGTACAGCTCATCTGCTGCCTCGTACAGAGAAGCCTATTTACTGGAGCTGGTGCAACGGGCTGAAGGATACGGAGTGGGTGGCGGAACATGAACACTGGCGAGCGGGATAGGCATTCAGCAGGTGTGCAACGGTGCGGTGTCATGGTAGGGAGTATGGCCCGGCCTGATGGTGGATTGCATGTCAAGCACAACAGTGCAAGGGAGGCAGGAGCGGGGAGTCGTTAGATTGTGACACGGTGAGAGAGGGTATTCGAGGAGAAGCTAGAGTGGAGAACACAAGGCACTACATGTAGAGAAAAGGCAGAAGAACCTCACTGCTGGCAGAAGAACGCAGCAGCAAGGATTGTGCAAGCCGCCCAGTGCAGTGCGCTGCACATGCCATGGTTGGAATGAGATGGGATAGATGCAAGCCATGCCACACGCAAGTACTAAAAGAACCAATCTTATGTGTGGGCCTTGCCTGAGTGATATGGAAGAGCGTGCAGGCAGGGTGTGTGGGGGGCACGTCTGCAGCAGCGTGCTCCCTGTGGCCGCACACAGGCACTCTGCTCCCCTGGCGGGCATGCGCGGGCAGGTGCGCATGTGCTGCTTGCGATGGGCACATCCAGCATGCGGAGAAGAGCTGTGGTGGCGCATGTTGCGCTGAGAGCACAGGGAGACACGGAGGAGGGGCAGAAGGGCAGGGGGGCAGGGGAGAGATTGGGGGTGGTTGGAAGCAAGTGGACGTGCACATGGGATGGGTGAGAAGACCGTGGCATGTCGCATGTGGTGCAGGGCAGACTCTGGAGACAACAGACATGATGAGGCAGCGATGGTTGACAGATACAGGGGGTGACACACCGATAGAGAGAGGAAGTGAGAGGAGTGAGATTGCATGCACTTCAAGTTCAGTTGGCAGCACAGTACTTGCATAACAGCAGTGCAAAGCCGTGCGTGAAAGTGCAGGTTTAGTGACGACTAGGGGTGTGATGAGGGAAGGTGGCAGGCGCATGCAGGGCGTGATGAGAAAGGGCTGGAGCAGGGTGGGAGTGACTCACTGGGAGCACACTGGGACTGGGAAGGTTGGAGGGAGTCAGAGGGCGAAAATGGGCCGGCGAGGGAGAGGCGGTGCGAGACAATGGCCTGCAGAGCGGGGCGTGGAGGGAGATGTGGAGCTCAAGGGAGGACGTAGAAATGGCAGGCAGTAACGAGGCGGATGACAGGCTGATGAGGCTGGCTCGCTGGCAGCGCATCTACATCCTGCAACAAGGGACGTGGCTCACACAGGACAAGAGCTGCCTCCCAGCACTGCAGTGAGCAACTGATATGAGTGGTGGCACCCAATGCGACAGGGACATGCGCGCATGGACGAGTGAAATTGTGGTGACCCGTGGGTGGTGAGCATGCAGCAGGGAGGCATGGACAAGCTCCATGTATTCACGGTGGAAGAGGTGAGTAGAGCACTCACACCCGTGAGACTGCTTACATGCTCATGCTGCTGCTCACCGCAACATCAAGAGCTGCCTAAAATAGTATCACCAACGCTCTGCTCTTGCGCGCCACGTCATGTGAGTGAGTGGCTGCTACCAAAGCGTGTAGATGAAGCCATGAACACTGGCAGCATTGCCACATACCACACCGTGCACAGCTCTTCCCATCCCCCCCAACCCCCGCGCACCTGCCATGCAGCAGGCATGTACTCGCGTGGGGGCACATGCACTGGCACCACGGGGGCAGCAGCAGCCTCGCCTGGCACATTGGATGGGTCACGTGCTGCAGTGGCAGTAGCAGCAGGGGGCAGAGAGCGAGCACCAAAGATGGCAGTGCGGGCAGCAACCACAGCCACCCCGTGCGACTGTGACAGCTGCTGTAACTCCCGTGCTGCCACCTCTGCAGCTGTCACCCACGTCAGCAGCTTGCCTCCATGGTCGCTGGGGAGAAAGGACGAAGGGAAGGAGGGGATGAGGGCGAGAGGGCGACGCGGAGGAGACAAAGAGCCGGCTTGAGACAGCATGTGAGCAATAGGTGCCTGGTGCGACTGTTTGAGACTGCAGGCAGCCACATGGGATGCAGGCTGGGTTTGAGGAGTGAGGGATGTGCCAGCAGCAGGAGAGAGGGGTGCAGGTGCGCAAGGGCATGGCGTGAGCAGGTAGGTGGAGGCAACGCAGCGGCATGCATACCTTGGTGCGTGGGCCGGAGGAACAGCCCGGTCCAACCAGTAGAACGCCCCGATGCTGTTATGCCCATGCAGGGCGGGGACGAGGGACGAGGGAGGAAATACCGTGTGAGAGATGATTTGAGCTGTGGTGACCCCATGATGGGAAAGAGGTGAGGCCATTACAAGTGATGGCCCCACCACCTAAGCACAGGAATACGAAGAACAGTGACAAGAAGGCATCATTGTAGGATGACGATTATGTTTGGAGCACACATGCATGGCAGAGGCATGCACGAGAGGAGAGGCGATAAGGAATGGAGAGGCGATATGGAATGGAGAAGCGATAAGGAATGGAGAGGCGATAAGGAATGGAGAGGCGATATGGAATGGAGAAGCGATAAGGAATGGAGAGGCGATAAGGAATGGAGAGGCGATAAGGAATGGAGAGGCGATATGGCATGGAGAGGCACACACGAGTCAATGAGCAGCAGAGGAGGGCAGTGGTTGAGATGAGACGGCATGCCATGCTGCCCTGCATTGGCCTCTGGGCTAAACCAACTCCACTGCGCCATGTGCCCCCCCTCAGCAGCACCCCACCCTGCATCCCCATGCTGCATTGCCACATCCCCTGCACCCACGCCCTCCTCGCCCTGCACCCCCCTCGCCTCGCCTGCCCCCATGCCCTCCATTCTCTCCACCTGCTCCCTCGCATCGCCATCTCTCGCCCCTCCGCCCACGCCTGCATTCACCCCTGCACCGATGCTGCCCATGCCAGCGGGGTGCTGCTGCTGCTGCTGCTGCTGTGCGTGCCACGAGGGCAGCAGTGACGACACAGACTGCAGGCAGGGCACGCAGGGGAGAGCGTGGCAGCGCATGGGCGCCCGTGCGCATGAGTAGAGTGCTGGGAATACAGAGGGGGTGAGCAGGACGTAAGGAGAGAGGAGAGTGGGAAGCGAAGTGTGGGGAAGGAGGCAGTGCAGGGTTGAAGGGTTGGGGAGCAGGTAGTGAGAGGCCGTGTGGGGTATGCATGCAGGTATGGGAAGATTCGGGCATGGGAAAACGAGGGGGAGGGGTATGGCATGGCATGGCAAGGCATGGTGTAGAGTGCACCTTGAGGCATGCGAGCCAGTGGCATGTGTTGCGGCATGGCACGAGATGGAAGCGACGCAGCGCTGCTTGCATCAAGCCCTCCACGCGCTGCTGCTGCTGCTCGCACGCTTGTGTTGGCGAGCCCCCCTCAGCGTTAAGCACGCACTGAAGAGCACAGCACAGGGAAAACGCAGGGGTGGACACACATGCACGGCGGACGGGGGGACAGCAATTGGGGGAAGGGGGAGGGGGGCGTCGGGGAGCCGAGCGGAGAGCCCACAGGAGCAGAGCAGCAACAACCTCCTGCAGCTTCCCACGCATTGCCTCATGCCACCTGCGCGCCCCCTCACCCACCTGCGCGCCCCCCACCCACCTGCGCGCCCCCCACCCACCTGCGCGCCCCTCACCCACCTGCGCGCCCCTCACCCACCTGCGCGCCCCACACCCACCTGCGCGCCCCTCACCCACCTGCGCGCCCCCCACCCACCTGCGCGCCCCTCACCCACCTGCGCGCCCCCCACCCACCTGCGCGCCCCTCACCCACCTGCGCGCCCCCCACCCACCTGCGCGCCCCCCACCCACCTGCGCGCCCCTCACCCACCTGCGCGCCCACCCCCTGCGCCCCTCACCCACCTGCGCGCCCTCACCCACCTGCGCGCCACCCACCCACCTGCGCGCCCCTCACCCACCTGCGCGCCCCCCACCCACCTGCGCGCGCACCTCACCCACCTGCGCGCCCCCCCACCCACCTGCGCGCCCTCACCCACCTGCGCGCCCCCCACCCACCTGCGCTGCCTCACCACCTGCAGCCCCCAACCCTGCGCGCACCCCTCACCCACCTGCGCGCCCCTCACACCACCTGCGCGCCCCCTCACCCACCTGCGCGCGCACCCTCACCCACCTGCGCGCCCCCCACCCACCTGCGCGCCCCTCACCCACACTGCGCGCCCCCCACCCACCTGCGCGCCCCCCCACCCACCTGCGCGCCCCTCACCCACCTGCGCGCCCCCCACCCACCTGCGCGCCCCTCACCCACCTGCGCGCGCCCTCACCCACCGGCGCGCCCCCCACCCACCTGCGCGCCCCTCACCCACCTGCGCGCCCCCCCCCACCTGCGCGCCCCTCACCCACCTGCGCGCCCCCCACCCACCTGCGCGCCCCCCACCCACCTGCGCGCCCCTCACCCACCTGCGCGCCCCTCACCCACCTGCGCGCCCCTCACCCACCTGCGCGCCCCTCACCCACCTGCGCGCCCCCCCACCCACCTGCGCGCCCCTCACCCACCTGCGCGCCCCTCACCCACCTGCGCGCCCCCCACCCACCTGCGCGCCCCTCACCCACCTGCGCGCCCCCCACCCACCTGCGCGCCCCCCACCCACCTGCGCGCCCCTTACCCACCTGCGCGCCCCTCACCCACCTGCGCGCCCCCCACCCACCTGCGCGCCCCTCACCCACCTGCGCGCCCCCCACCCACCTGCGCGCCCCCCACCCACCTGCGCGCCCCTCACCCACCTGCGCGCCCCTCACCCACCTGCGCGCCCCTCACCCACCTGCGCGCCCCCCACCCACCTGCGCGCCCCTCACCCACCTGCGCGCCCCCCACCCACCTGCGCGCCCCCCCACCCACCTGCGCGCCCCCCACCCACCTGCGCGCCCCTCACCCACCTGCGCGCCCCCCACCCACCTGCGCGCCCCCCACCCACCTGCGCGCCCCTCACCCACCTGCGCGCCCCCCACCCACCTGCGCGCCCCCCCACCCACCTGCGCGCCCCTCACCCACCTGCGTGCCCCCCACCCACCTGCGCGCCCCTCACCCACCTGCGCGCCCCCCACCCACCTGCGCGCCCCTGACCCACCTGCGCGCCCCCCACCCACCTGCGCGCCCCCCACCCACCTGCGCGCCCCTCACCCACCTGCGCGCCCCTCACCCACCTGCGCGCCCCCCACCCACCTGCGCGCCCCTCACCCACCTGCGCGCCCCCCACCCACCTGCGCGCCCCCCACCCACCTGCGCGCCCCTCACCCACCTGCGCGCCCCCCACCCACCTGCGCGCCCCTCACCCACCTGCGCGCCCCCCACCCACCTGCGCGCCCCTCACACCCACCTGCGCGCCCCTCACCCACCTGCGCGCCTGCGCGCCCCCCACCCACCTGCGCGCCCCTCACCCACCTGCGCGCCCCCCACCCACCTGCGCGCCCCTGACCCACCTGCGCGCCCCCCACCCACCTGCGCGCCCCTCACCCACCTGCGCGCCCCCCACCCACCTGCGCGCCCCTCACCCACCTGCGCGCCCCCACCCACCTGCGCGCCCCCCACCCACCTGCGCGCCCCTCACCCACCTGCGCGCCCCCCACCCACCTGCGCGCCCCCCACCCACCTGCGCGCCCCCCCACCCACCTGCGCGCCCCCCACCCACCTGCGCGCCCCCCACCCACCTGCGCGCCCCCCCACCCACCTGCGCGCCCCTGACCCACCTGCGCGCCCCCCACCCACCTGCGCGCCCCTCACCCACCTGCGCGCCCCCCACCCACCTGCGCGCCCCTCACCCACCTGCGCGCCCCCCACCCACCTGCGCGCCCCCCACCCACCTGCGCGCCCCCCACCCACCTGCGCGCCCCCCACCCACCTGCGCGCCCCCCACCCACCTGCGCGCCCCCCCCCACCTGCGCGCCCCTGACCCACCTGCGCGCCCCCCACCCACCTGCGCGCCCCTGACCCACCTGCGCGCCCCCCACCCACCTGCGCGCCCCTCACCCACCTGCGCGCCCCCCACCCACCTGCGCGCCCCCCCACCCACCTGCGCGCCCCCCACCCACCTGCGCGCCCCCCCACCCACCTGCGCGCGCCCCCCACCCACCTGCGCGCCCCCACCCACCTGCGCGCCCCTCACACCCACCTGCGCGCCCCCCACCCACCTGCGCGCCCCTCACCCACCTGCGCGCCCCCCACCCACCTGCGCGCCCCCCACCCACCTGCGCGCCCCCCACCCACCTGCGCGCCCCTGACCCACCTGCGCGCCCCCCACCCACCTGCGCGCCCCTCACCCACCTGCGCGCCCCCCACCCACCTGCGCGCCCCTGACCCACCTGCGCGCCCCCCCACCCACCTGCGCGCCCCTGACCCACCTGCGCGCCCCCCACCCACCTGCGCGCCCCTCACCCACCTGCGCGCCCCTCACCCACCTGCGCGCCCCTCACCCACCTGCGCGCCCCCCCACCCACCTGCGCGCCCCCCACCCACCTGCGCGCCCCCCACCCACCTGCGCGCCCCTCACCCACCTGCGCGCCCCCCACCCACCTGCGCGCCCCTCACCCACCTGCGCGCCCCCCACCCACCTGCGCGCCCCTCACCCACCTGCGCGCCCCCCACCCACCTGCGCGCCCCCTCACCCACCTGCGCGCCCCCCACCCACCTGCGCGCCCCCCACCCAC